TTTATGGGGAACATCTTTAACATTTGCTCTGCTCTCAGTGCGCTTGATTAAATGTAACATTTTGAGATCCCAGAGTTCTGAGAAAAGCATAAATCATTGTCTCGCAGCTGCTGGCGTGCCTGGGGAAACACATGCTATCCCTCACTCTCTCTCACTCTTTTGTCTTCTCTGTGATCATAAAGCCCACCCGACCCGTTGGTCCCTCCTCCCCTGATGCAAGTCCGGGGGGTGGTGGTGGTGGAGGGGGGACACCTGCAGGCTGCCGCTCACCCTGAGGTTCGGCATAAACCCCAGCTCCTCGCACGCCCTCTGGCCCCTCTACTCCCTCACACCAGCCCCGTCCAAGGCCCCCTTAGTCTTCACCATCCATCAGCAGTGACAGGCCCAAGACCAAGCCAAGGAGGATAGCTAGCCAGCCAGCCAGCCACTGTCCGTGGATCGAGATGATCAAGCTGTCTTTTGAGCGGTAGTGATAATTTACACTCAGGAGGTCACTTGGAATGACACAGCCAAGGATTTCTGGTCCTTGTGATCTTTGCTCGACTCTGATTAAATCCACAAATAATTTATAGATCTAATATCAGTCGAGGAACATGGGCATCAGTCCAGGTGTGTGCTAGTGCAGGATGACATGTCCCTGGCTCTCAGCTGGGCCCATGTGGAAGACTAACCTGTGCCCCTCTGATCCAGGTTGGACCTGGATCGCTGCCCTCCGTGACTTCAAAGTGACCGCCTCACCCCGAGTCAGACTCCTCCTGCTCCGTCCCTCACTCAATAATGCCATTGATTATTCATTATTGGTTGGGAGAGCGCATGCATGAATCACATTAAAAGAAAAAAGTGGGGAGACCGCTTTGTTTTGGTGCCACTGCCAAAAAAATGTTATTTGGAACAGCCGCTCAATTAGGAGAAATGATCTAGGACTGTCAAGTTGTGATGCGAAGGGTTAACGGCATGATATAAAATGGCTATACGCCTTAAGATCTATAAAAGAGGGCATTTCAAAGCAGGGCTGCTCAGTTCTTCTGCGTTAAAACCCACGCCTTTAATTGTGTTTAATTTATTAGAATGTTCCAACCTCAAACCCGTTGAATGAAAACACATTGGTCCGGATCCGCAGGAGTTCTGCAAGTGTATGGGGACTCCCACCAACCGCCACCCCCGACCCAATCTCTTCATTTTCTAAGTAAGCTGGAATTTCGTTTTCACTGGTAAACAATTAGACAGAAAACAGATGTCACTGGCCGTATTTGAAAGAAACAGAGAGCGATATAGAGAGTAGATTAAAACGTGTGTGAAAGCTGCCGTTAAAACGCGCTTGATTATCTAAACTACCGTTTCTTCAGTGACATGACAATGAACATTCCCCGATGGGCTTTGGGGTTTGTTCTAAAAATATTTCAGGCCGACAACTGTGTCATAGAAAGAGGTCAAGACACGAGTGCTCTCTAGAGACTCGTGTGATTGGCTGTTAGTGAAGAATCTAGCTGTATTGTATCAGAGGAGACCTGAGCAGATCTGGGCCTTTCTGAGCTCTAAGAAAAGAAAAAGGAAAATGTAAGACATGGAGGAAATAGCCTCTGGGATGAATTAAAGGATCCATAAGGAAAGCGCTGGCAATTTCCAGAGCCTGTCACGTCCTCTAAGAAATGAGACAACGCAGGGATCACACATACACGACCAGTGGGGAAACCCTGAAGGCAGGGCTTCCCTCCACTTACAATCAACCGCAGTCAATCACCTGCACCAAAAATAAGGCACATACGAGAAAGCGCCGTGGCATGTGAACATATGAACTCAAACACTTCAGTGACGACACGCTGGTTGCTAGATGCCGCCCCCCCTTCAATAAACATTATGCTTTGAGAATTGGGCGGACGGATCCCACAGCACTGCTGTGCTTTCACGTTGCATCCCTGCAAAAAAAACAGAAGCGACTAATCAAATGAAAAATGGAATATAAAAGTTGATTGCGGCTCATCATGTCTTAATGTTTTCGGCATGTCTATGGTGTAAGGAGTGAGCTTTCCTCTTACTCCGCCGGCCCTACGCTCCATGTATAACGATCACGCTTTAAGAATTCACTAAATGGAATCAACGGAGCCACATGGGAGGAATAAAATGCGTTTGATGCCGAGGCCAAGTGCTCCAGCAATTCAGAAATGTCATGATCACAAAAAAACGTTGAGCACCTCGAGTCGGGCCTTTTGGGAGCGAAAGGGTGCAGCCCATTTAGAGTGGTGCTGCTCCACCTTTCATCTCCGGCTGAATGAGGCGTTGCATCCATCATTCCATTAGCACTGCTCTAACAGGCTCCCAGTCACCCTCCGGATGACAGCGGGGACATGGGACATGTGGACTGACCAAGAGCTTTGATGTAAGCCTGACCACAAAACACAGGCCTATAAGTAGACACCCAAAAATGCCTTCGCACACACACACACACACACACACACACACACACACACACACACACACTAACTTTGCAAGGTCTTCCTTCAACAGCGTGTTTGACGCAACACACACACATGTGCAGACAGAGAGAAACGTTCCAGTCTGGTGATATTGTTACTGTCAAGCCACGCTGCTGGCTGTTTGACTGTATTGACAGGTATATTGCAGATAAGTTTCTGGCAGAAATACTCTGCGCGCATGCGTGCGTGCGTGCGTGCCAGCTGTTCTGCAGCGTTTTGTATTAAACATGTGAAAAGTGAAAATGTTGCTTCAAATTGCTCTTTATTCATTTAAGTTTGTTCCTTTGTGCCTCCCACCAGCCATGAGGAATTAATGCCTCGACAGACTTCTAACAAACAAGAAAGGAACAGAGATGCATGCTTGAAGAACAGAAAGAGGGAGAGACGGACTACATTTCAGATCAAAAACAACAAACGAGGTTCAGAGACGAAAGAGACACGCAGACAGAAAGAAAGAAAGAGAGAAAGAAAGAACATTAAACACAGAAGAGGGGGAGAGTTCTGAGGCAGTGATGAGAATGAGTGCAGGCCTCCACTGCTCCACATCTGCTGGAGATATATCCAGTGCTTCTGGGAGTCAGCTCCCC